CTTAACAGTCTGCTTAAATGTCCATCAACACAGACTTCACGAATATTCACCTGAGTGTATAATAACAGGCACAACCTGTTTACAGCTTGGAAGCCAAGATTTTTATTGGCAATTCATGAGCAATGCTGTCCTTAATCCGAAGTATTTAAAGGGTTTCTGAGACTTCTTTAATGCAGTTAAGGATTATTGTTTGTATCACTAGGGATTCTTCCTTAATTGTGGAACAGAGTATCAATAATAGCAGGGCCAACTGACTGTCAAGTTACAAGTCAGATATAGTCTCCAGCCTGTTTTGCACCATCTACACAGTTTTCCCAAGCAGTTAAAGTAACAAAGCGCTTGTGGCTGTACTAGGTACAATCTAAAAGCAATATATAAAAGATTTGCATGGTCTGTCTTTGTGGAAAAGGCCTAATATAATTACCAAATTAAAATTTTCAAGCTACACATTTAGTAAGTTATATAAAATGTCAAGATTAAATTTTCCTATTTAAAAGAACTGTCACTCCAAACATTACTTCACTTGAAAGATGTGGGTTTTATTCTGAGACACGCCTGAAACTTTTTTCAAAAAAAAAAAACCAAAACCTACATCTCCACATATTTCTGCCATTCAAATTATATAGAACAGACCTGAATATTAAGACAGGCCATAGTTTAAGTTTAACCCTGGTTAAACCTACCTCAATATTTAGTATTACTAAGGAAATACAGTAATTCACAGCGTGACCAAAATAGTCTAGCTATGTCATACACCAAGCAGAATATATTGCTTCTAGTCCTGTACTTAAATCACTACGAAATCATTAATTTCAAGTTATTTTAGCTCCCTAATCGCTGATCCAGAGAAATAGCAGTGAAAACATCCCCAAAATACTTCAACTGGTAAACTGAAATACCTATCTATTCCAGTTTAAAAAATGTTGGTCCATATACAAGTTTGTCCCACCTCATTCAGCACATTAAGGCAATCCTTGTAGCAGATCTTTCTCAAACTGTTGAGAAAACTCAAACTGAATAGCTTTTATGGGGCATAAAAGGCCCATTTCCAGGTACAATCTCTAAAAGAAGTCACATTAAGTGGCTAAGGATGCTACAAAGATGTTGAAAGAAGGTAGTATATGATCAAGCTTTCAACCACTGCATAGCATCACATGCTTTAAGCCAAATGGACAGTGCACAGAACGTTTTCTAGTGGCTGTGTTCTAACTCAAATAACTCATCAGCCCCAAGACCTCAAAATTCATAGCAGTTAATTTGATTTAAACTTATTTATTTTCAGAGCTATAAACATCTCTTTCCAACATCATATACTTATGTTAACTTCTAAACAATCAAAAGGGCCTTGGATAAGTTATTACCCCACCATGACCACAACCTTTTTCATTTTTAGAACAGGGACAGTAATTACCAGCTTCACAAGAGCACAGCAAGACAAGCTCTTATGGTCTTTGGGAAAGAAAGAACATGTTTAAGTAATGTATATAATCAAGTCAGCCAATAAAATTCTTCCAGTTTCCAGGAGTTTCAACTTTTTTTTCCATTTTAATTAGCAGGGGCACACATGAAATATACTTATTTTCTTACAATATCCTGCTCAGAAGGTTTCATCTGTGCAACCTTTAAGCATAAGCACTTTTCATTCCCCTCTTTTGATGTAGATCCATGCCTCTCATCATTCCTTCCCCATCACTTCAATCTTTACTCCCCCATCCCTGCAGTGCTCACTCCTCCAGAAGCAGAGGAGTTTGATCGTGACAAGGACATCACACAGTGGCACCTTCCCTATTTCTGCTGATCATTCTAGCAAAGTAGCAGCATGTAGGAAGCATGGCAACAGCCAGCCCACTTCGCCCCTGTGGTCCTTCTGTAGGTAACTCACAGGAATAAGCCAGTTTAGGAAAAGAGAAAAACATACAGGCCAGAAGGAAAAAAGGATGGAAAAATAGGGAAACATGTCACTAAATGAATTGGCTGCTAATCGATATAGTACAGGGCAGTATGATTTTTCTCCCAATTTACAAATGATAGTACCCGGTGCAGGGAGAACAGGCTTGGGAGGAAAGAGGAGGGGCAAGGAAATCAAAAGCAAATGGCTTTCAAGATGCCATATATTAGCTCAAATTACAAAAAAATTTTTCCTACATACACAATTTTTGGTCAGCATTTCATGTAACTAAACCAAAGTCTTCACAGTTTCATGCTCAACTACCATTCAGACTTACAACATTTTAGGAGAGAATACAATTTTCTTTAACAAAGCCCAGCTAAACACAGGCAATAAAAAGGGGGAGGGAAAGTAAAAGAATTCTTTTATAAGCTGGGAAATCAAAGCAGTGTTAGAAAATCTTACAGAAGTGCAATTTAGGAATTACAGTAGAACACCACTATTAAGCATACCTACAGTAAAAAGAGCTATTCCTTCTGCAACACTTCCAGGTAAGCACTAATTCAACAGCCAGCTACAAGAAAGCTGTAAGATCTTTATTGCTAGATTAATTTCTTTTTGAAAGTATGTATTATGTCAATCAAAACTGATAAATAATTTTCTTATAGAAGGCTGGCTACACCTTAACTTTCTGTATCTATTTGGCACACAAAAATGATGGAAATGAAGAGGCAGAAGCAGACCAAGAATTGGTTTGGCACTAAAATGTGCATTTCTGCCTCCTTTGTTTCCCCAGAAATACCAGATTTACCGAAGCCTCCTTTCCTGGCACTGATCAACAGAAGAATCTCCCGTCTCCCTTAAGATATAAATAAAAAACCCAGTTTAGATGTCATTAATCTCACTCCCTTAAAGCCTCCTTTTTATAGTTGTCACATGAATATTCTGAAGTTCCTGAGGCATGCCTACCACAAACCATCTTCCCTTAAACTGCTCACTTTCCATTCTTCCCTATTGTTAAATTAATAGTTTAACAACATTAAGACAGAATTCTACTTCTACCACAAAAATAGTGAAAAAAATATAATTACTTTTTAAAGTCTTTCCTCTCCCATCAACAGGATCTGTCTTCCTTTGCAGATAAGAGTTAAGTAAACTTGCATATTCAAATTGGCCTCTAAATGTTGCCTCTGAAAATTACTTCCAAAATAAAATCTTTTATTACAAGCCGACCAAATACTTCTTACAATCTGAGCTTCACAGTTTGAATCCTAGACCAGTTATTCCACCTGTGGCAGAAGACCACCAGCAGGCTGTAAGACGTTAAGACAGACCATGTGAGTACCTCTCAGTTCCTGCCACCTGTTACGAAACTGAATCAACAACTCAGACGTTTGTAATGATAGCAGTGAAATTATGATTTGGTAATGGAATAACTACTTTTTTCTTCAGCTAAGAATCAAACTATTTAATACCCTCCCTGATAAACAGTAAACAAAGATTCAAGATGGGTCTCTTCTAGGTTTTTTTTGGTTTATTGAAAAAAAGTTTTGGTGGTTCTTGGCTTCAGTAATGTAGAAATAGTTATATCAGCTTCAGCAGAAGATTACGCACCAGAAGCACCACTCCAAGTGAGTCAAAACAACTGAATAGAATCTAGATAGGAAGATGGGTGCATTAAATACCATGGTTTGGGTGACTCCTGAGGAATTGTGGGTCTTCTGTCTTACAACTATAAAGCTCAAGAGCTGGATATGAACCAGAATACAGACCATCCTGAGAAAACAGAATTTATCTATGCAAAACCAAGATTGTTTGATAACATCTATCTCTGCTATTTACCTTTGCCTAGAAAATACTTCTCATAGGAAAAACTTGCTAAGTCAACTCTGACAAAAATAGCGTATCAACATTACTTCTAGCATTATGTAATGGACTCATCATCTTATGCTCTGCCCAATAGATTATTTTAGAGCTGGCTATACCAAAATATTCAGAACTATGTTCCTTGACTCACTAGATGTTTATGTTTTATCTTAAGCTATCTACTATGAACACAGCAATATATTCACCTCTTTCTTCACTATAGCTGTCAGCTCTCTGATCCTGTAAGACCACAAAATAAATGTTACCCCAACCCATGAAAAAGAATTGCTCTATTTCAATAAAGGTTGAAACAAGGTCTACTCTACTTCTTCATTAAAAGTGAACTCTTTCAGTGAAAACATCCACAGGGTGACAGTAAAAAGAATGGCAGCCTAACTGAACTGTGTTTTTTTAATCTTTATCAGCTGTTTAGTTTTAGCTTGGTTTTCAGACTACAAGGCACCTAAAATCAGGTGTTATCAGAACCAGTGTACTGATAGAACTACAGGGAAAAAACTCCCCTGGTGTTGTTACTGCTTATGTGAGCGAGCAAACAAACAACTTCTGGTAGAGATAATATCCAGCGTACCTTTTTTCCCAGCCTCTGAATTTACACATTGCTATTAACCATATACAAATACTGTTCACAGAGTCACAAAGTAATAACCAACATGATTATACCATCAAAAAATGCTAGCACAGCTTTAGTTACAATAGAATAGAAAAAAAAGTTAATCATACATGAAAGTTAGGGTAATTACAGGTCACTAACACATGTGCATCATTGTTAAATAACATTTTCTTTCCTTTTAAACGTTAGTACATCTCTTCAGGCAAGTCTTTAAGAATAAAATTTTCACAGGAGACCCAACTAATGGCACTATGAGCACAACTTTTGTGGAAGATGATTGTTCATCTATATATTCACAGCAAGTAGCACTATTGCAACCATGGCATAATTCCTAATAATATTTTTTTTCAAGTCTCAGCTTCATTAATACCTTGTTCTCAAAATACAAGACTTTTTTCAGTCTTAATGTACTTCAAGACTGTGTGAAGGCATTCAGTAAACACATTGGTTTAGTCCCCAATCTAAACCAGACCTTTATACCTTTCAAAATATTTCTCCAAACGCACATTCAACAGACATTAAAGTGTATACACAAAGACAGTCTGAGCATGGCACATCAGTTTCTACTACAACTTTATTTTTTAAAAGAAAAATTGTAATACCCTGCTTAAAAACAAACAGAAACCCATTTTCAGCTCCCAGGCCCTGTGAGGTCTAATGAGAAGTGTGATAAACAGCTGGCCTTAAGAGGTTAAGAGCAAAGAAGTTTAAACCACTTATATTTCTCCAACTGTAAAACCAAAATATTGCTGGAGTCTTCCTGCAGCAAGGATATTGGATAATTTAGTCTAAAATAGATGTTTATTAAAAAAGGGCGTTGATTTGTTGGAAGCAGTGAAAAGCAGCAGACACCCCTAGTGTCGACGTAAAATACTACAGGACTCCATACTGTATCTCTGTTAATTTTACGGCAATAAAAGGGAAATTTAAATCATCACGATTTAAACAGAACAACTCAAATACACACACCTGGACATACCACATACCTTTCTCCTGCTGCCTCAAAACCCACATGCCTGTCATATTTGAAGTGTCAGCTTTCTAAACCCGCAACAATTGAAGCATACATTATCTAGCCTGTCTCCCTGACATGGGCTACGTGCATTACAGCTTTCCGGTCGGCACATGAACAGAAAAACGCTGCTGCAACAAGGGAGGGGGAACCCTAGGGAGATTGCAAAACAACCCCCACAAGACATCCCTACCAAAATGCCAGGCTTGCCTAAGGCGCTGCTGATACATCTGGAAAGCAGATGAAGCACAGACCGGCGAACGCGAACCCCTCGGACTGAGGGGAAAGGGGGGGGGAGGGGGACGGGGAACGACGTTTGGGGGTGGGGGGAGAGGTGAGGGGGTGCTAGAGAGAGATTAGGGCCGCGAGATGGTAGAGAAAGGGAAGGGCCGAACCCAATGAGCGCTGCCAGGGTTCAGGGAGGAGGCGGCGGAGGGAGTAGGCGGGGAGGCAGCGGGGCGCACGGCGGCGAGGCGGCGGCCATGGGCGGCGGAGGGGAAGCGGGGGGACGTGCCTGCCCCGGGGGGAGAGGCGCGAGGCGGCCACAACGGCGGCCCAGAGGGAGGGGGAGAGCCCAGCGAGGCATTCGCCTGTAGGAAGACGTGGACGGCTCGGGGGCGGGAGGCGAAAGAGACGGGTCAGAGGCAGGGCAATAGCAGCGAGGCGGAGCGGCGGTCGGGCCGGGCCGGGACGCGGGGACACAGCCTCGCCCCCCACCAACCCCTCGCGGCCAGGTCCGGTCTGGAATATTCCAGCAGGGTAGGAACTGGGGTCTCTGCGGGAAGGGAGAAACGAATGAGGGTCCTCACCATAGCAGCGGATGGGCGTCAGGCGTCTCCCCCCAGCAGCTGAATCCACAGAGCCCCGGCCTACACCACGCGTGCTCGGCGCCGCCGCCCCGAATCCTGCTCCCCTCACTGCGGCAACGGCTCGCACGGAACCGCAACAGCACGTACGTAACAATGGGGGCGCGAGCGGCGCTAAGGTTCTGGCAGCGGGGGGCGGAGCCTCCCACATCCGGGTACCCGCCGTGGGGGAGGGCGGGGCGCGTCTGTGACGTCAGCCAGCGTGGCGGGGGCAGGAAGGGGAGTACAAAATGGAGGCAAGGGGAGGGTTGGGGTTGTAGAGCGGTTTGCTGAGTTCGCTAAGAGAGGGGGTAAAGGTCTGTGGAGGTCGGAGCTTTGACTGAGGGGTTGCTTTGCTGGCAAGTGGTTTGTTTTGTAAAGCATCCAGTGTTAAGTGCTACCATAAATAGGCCTCTGCCTGCTCCCTTAGATTTCTGCTCAGGAAAATGTTCCATTCGCTCTTCTGGGGACTGTCAGCTTCTAGTTGTCCTTTTTCTTCTACCTACCCTTTGCTCAGGCTGGTCCCTTGAAGCCACTTTATAAGCTGTACTGCTGGAGCCTGTGCTGCTCTAGCTTCCATGTGTCACTTCTGTTTTCTGCAAAAGGAGAGGAAAAAAAAGATGCTCCAGGCAGGGAGGAAGCTTGCAACAGATGAGCCTTTGGAATTGTGGTTGAGTGGCACCTGATCTCTTTATGTTCTGGCTGTTATTTTCCTCAGGTTTTTGATCTTATGTTGCAAGAGGCTATCTAGGCTGGAAAGTGCTCAATACTTCACAGATTTTAGAGTATTGGGTTTCAGTAGTGTTAATTACGTAAAGCAAAAGGAATGGTACTGTGATGAGATAATTCTTAAAGTGTTTACATTTATGTTTGTGGTTAATGCTTTATACCCTGAATAGTTTGCGTTATAAAATGATACAGATAAGTGCAAATGAAGATGAAGGATGTAGTTCCCTTTAAGGCAAGATTTAGGGCAATACAACTGCTTGCAGAAGTAAAGCTGACCCTCAGGGAGTGATCTCTATATATTACAAAGTTTTAAGTAGGCCAGATGACACCTTTGAAAACCGCAGTTAAGGATAAAGTAAACTATTGAGTGAGATGGCTTGATTTCACATTCCCTTTGCTGTTTTTGCCCTTCTGTGCTCTCTCTTGAAGAGGGTCCCAATGCGGAGAGTGGCCCGAGTAACGACAATCACACCAATGCGGCTACATGTCGTCCCCCTTTATTGCCCGAATCGCTTGGTTATATACTTTGCACAGCAAGCACCTGCTGTTCACACGCCCCATACCCCTTGATTATTGGTCATAAGCAACTTATCACGCACCCAAAGGGAAACTGCGATAGGCAAGCATCTTGCGGTTTGCTGCATACTTGTGCTTAGCTTAGCCAGATACATAGCTGAGAAAATTCCTCATTAACACATACAGTTCCTCACAACACAGCCCTTCAAGGTCATCCTCATAACACAGGTGTTGTTAGCAGTCTGATCTCAGGCCTGGATTGTCCAAACCCTGCAACAAAATATCGTGGCCATTCTCTGTCAGAAATTCTACTACATCTCTGATAAATATGTTTATTTTGGAGCACCATGACGCAGCACATAACACTGTCACAAATAAAATGGTGATGTGAAAATAATAATTATATATAAGATATTGTTGTGTTAATACTGCCGAAAAGACTCAGTACCATGTTGATGTTGTCTTTCAGGCATTTGTTATTTGGCTTACAATAGCTAGACACTGCCAGGGAGATGCAAGACAATCCTGCCAAGTTTAAGGTGAATGGCAACTTAATTTGTGGGGGAAGGGAAGACTGGATTATTACTTTGAAACCAGGTTAATTTTTTAGGACTGAAGCCTAACATGAGCTTTCAAGTCTAAAATGGTAATTTCCTTTCCCTTCAGCTCCTTCTGGAAGAGGAACTGCCTCATCACTGCTGCTCTGTTTGTGGGAGTCTGTGTTGGCCTAAGGTTAGCAAAAGTTAACTTAAATGTTCCTGGAGAAACCTGGAATCTTGACATCAAATGCTGATGTGCAAATGCTAAGAGGAATGGGGAATCCCCTATATGGAAACCCACTCAGGAAGCAAGATAAATAAAGGGTGACCACAAAGTTCCACAAATTAGAAATTCTCATCTGAAAGATTGAAGCAAAGCATGGCAATAAATGTGCTGTTCTTAAAAATTGTTAATGACTGACAAACGTTCTGTTCAGAAACATATTCAGCATGCCTTCATATCTGAAAGGAGTGAGCTTGACCAGCAAGAGCAAAGAGTGCATTAGAGAGATTGTGCACAAAAAATCTAGCAGAAAGAAGTAAATTAAGAACATGGAGATGAGTGAAACTAAGAGGTGGTGAACAAAAGGTAATTTGCAGTAGAAGGAAGTAAAACAAACGCTAATACATAACTGTAAGCTTTGAGTTAATAGCAGATCAGCATAAAAGGCCTTTCTGGTAACAACCTGGGCCTGGCCACAGCAAGAGGTTATATGTAGTAAAATGGTTTGATCTGGGGAAGGAATTTCCTGCCTTTTCTTACTAACAGATACAGGTGGCTACAACAACTCTCCTTTTGGGGGGAAAAAAAAAATCAAGTTGCTAGGATGTCTCAGAATAAAACATTCCTAGATTTCACTGAAAACTAGTATTAAAACTGACTGGATTCTAGCCAAAAATTAAAAATAAAAAGTAACTTCAGATCTCCAAAATAAAAATAAATTCTGATGGAAAACAGTCTTGCTGCTTATGTGTCTTATCACTGCAGTTTTATCTAGCAGATGCAGATCTGGAGTAAAATCAGCTAAATGAACTTGAATATGACTAGAACTTCTATTGCATAATGTCATAGGACTAAAATAAACAGAAATGAGGAATACAATACCTTAATTGTTATGTTTTTCAGTTCCACGTAGAGACAGCCAGGAACTTGGGGAAATATTTTTATCTTGTAATACAGTTATGTCACAGCTAGTAGTTTTGAATCTCTAGATGCAGTACAAAGATGAGCTAATTAATTTTTAATTCCTTTTTCTGTTGTGCAAATTTGTCAAAGTTGCTTTTCATTTTATATCTTAACTTCTAAAATAAGTTAAAAATGCAAGATGGCGTTTGTAGGTAAGAGTCTGTAGAAAGCCATGATTTGCATTTAACACTTTGCATTATATTGTCTGTATTTCTGACTAGTATTTCTGCAAATATCAATATCTGAATTTTTTTGTTTGTTTTAGAGAAGGCTGTGTTTTTTCAGTTTCTGGTTTCAGTAAAGCTGTTCTGCTGCATAATTATAGCCATTCAAACTAGGATAAGTTGCATCTCCATGTAACTGGAAGCTGATTTAGCTACAGATAAATAAACAGGCATATAAACTCTGTACCTGTTTGTGTTCTTCAGTGTTACTAACAGTAATGATGTGGCTTGCACAGTGCTTGACCTGTTGTCTGGAAATCAATTTCTGTGCTTCTGCTTGTGTGTCTGGACTGTAGCTGCAGTTCTTTTCATAGCATGCTGCTTTTAAAGTGCTATTTGTGGTACTTTATCTGTCTCTAACTTTTGAGGGTTTTTTAATATAGCATGTATCTTTGATTGCCTAGGCATATCGTTCTTTGTCTTGCCTTGTGCTGGTCACAAATGTAGATGGATGCAATTTGTATGGAGCTTTCCCCTCTCTGTTAACCTAGGGTGAGGGCTGCCACCTAATTAAATAATCTCCTGCCCTGACCCTTAACAACCTGTAAGCAGCTTTTCCCAGCAAAGCAGGTAGACTCTTGGGACAGTGCAGTAAAGTCTGAAAATACAGGATTTTTAAGCATATGTGTGTTCTGATGGGTTCTATTAGTGCTTTATAAAAATCAATAAACTCTTATTCTTCTTTAATGATCTAAAAGGAAAAAAGAAAAGCCACCTTTTAGGAACTGGCTTCAAGGGAAAGTGCTCTTGGCTACAGTGTGTGTGGGAAGTTGTATTTTATGAGTAAAAGAGGAAACCTTTTGAGATAGAAATGAGAACAGTCCCTTCTCAGTATGTTTGGATTGCCCTATTAGTGCAGGTCCTGAACTCTAATGTCTATAAAACTGTTGCACCATATTTATTAATTTGATTTAATTTGCAATAGCAGGTAAAACAAGCAAATCTAAAGATACAATATGGACTAGAACTGACAAATGGTTGGAAAGATAAAGTGCCTCTCATTGTATCTCTCTTACACCTACATGTGTCTTTTCAGTTGAAAGAAATCAAAGGGAATTTGCCCTTGCTTTCTTGCATATTTGTGAGAGCATGATTAAATTGCCAAGATTTGGGAGGAGAAGGAGATGATACTTTTCAGATCCAGTAAGGCACAGCTGAAAAAACTGATCAAATGAAAGGATTAGGGAAGCAGGGGAAGGTTGCTCTCTCTACCTAGAAAATTAACAGGACTTGCCTTAAAACCAGAACAAAGGCGTGGGCCACAGCCTTGTGAAGCTGTAGGTTAACAGGGTGATTTTTGGTTACCCATTGGTTCATTTTGCATCACTGCAGGATGCTGGATTACAAACTGCTAGAGCGAGTGCAGTTGTATAGTTGTCTCAAGCATATGTGCATTTACTGAAACAGTGGTTGTAAATACCTCTGCTGTGTGAATCATGGTGCCCAAGGTGGTGTGAATTACATGTCCTGATAGATTATTTCTTCCCTTTTCAGGTCTTGGTGGTAATTAACAGCCCCCAAGGACTTGAAGCCACAGATTGAAAATCACTGTATGAAGCTTCTTTTTATTTTCCTTAACCGGGTTATGAAGAGTGGTCTTCTGATTTCGTAGACTTACTGCCAGTTCTGGCTAGGATAAACTGGGTATAAAAGTGCATGCTGTATCTTTGACCCTGTGCCTGTAATTGTTTCACTATATCAGATAGCTCTCTGCAGAACAAATATATGGAAACAATTTGCAAGAAAGATTGAGACTAAGAGGTTACATTTTCCTTGAGACTGTTTGCATAATAATTTCATGTGGTGCTCTTATTTGCCTAGCAGCTGATTAAGATTTCTTCGTGGCATCCAGCTGTAGCTAGTGTTGGTATAATTGGCTGCTTTTTTCTAAAGACATTTGTTCTGGGCAACTCTGATAAGAGCTGTGGGCTGACTGCTCAAAGACATGGAGGCGAGTGCTGCAAGCATGAGTAGTGTTTGATTTTTTTTTTTTTTCACTGATGTGCTTGTCTACTGTTGTTGTAAAGGTTTGTTGCTTTTGTTTAACTCTGATAGAGGGATACATGTATCAGTTTGACTTGTGAAGCTCTTATCTTCCTTCAGTAACTGATTAGGCAGTAGAGATTGGCCTGCACAGGATATTACTGAGCTATTAATGTATCTAACTTCAATCTTGTGGAAACAATCACTTGAATTATTTTAAGATGGTACTTGTTTTATCACTGGCTGTGTGTTGGCTGACTGGGCCAGTACAAATTCTGAAGGAGAAGACAGGCAGCAAGTGAGACCAGTATTTTAATAATGAAACAAGAGAGGCTGAACTGAAACAATGCCAAAATGCCTTAATTTGTTGTTTTCTTGTGACAGAGAAAACTGGAGAATTGCTTGATTGTTGATCCCCTAAGAGTTTGAGTTGGGGACAAATTTTGAACACCAGTAAGTAACCTGATTCTCAAAACCAGTCAAAATAAATGCTGTTGTCATGTGGAGTACCTTTTAGCATATGGGTATGTGTTGTGGGGAGTTTAATGAATGTAGTATCAAGTTCTGTGTCTATTAACCCTCTTTGTTTTTATGAAAAAGAAGAATTTCATTAATAAAAGCTGTCTGTAAATTGATTGCATCCATTTTAACTGTGCATTTTTCCATAGATTTGATTGACATGATCTCAGTGCTCATGTAATCTATTTTCATTTACAGTGCTGTCATCTATGTGAAAAATTGGCTTGTTAAAAACTTTAAAGGAAAATATCATGCAGCATGATCACATGTATTCATGTAAATATTCCAGGCTGCCTGAGCAGAGGAGATGAGAGCACACTGAGGTAAACACTCTGCATGTGTGATTCTCCACTCTGTGCTTCTGTTCCGTGCAAAGACTTTATTGGGAGTGTATATGGAGGACTGTGTGTAGTTTCAATCTGAGAAATAAGAGTGAGTCTAACCCCATATGCCAGATAAGTCATAGGAATTCAGAATTGCATCTGAGAACTTCCCAGGAACTAATTTGGTGCCAATACAGAATACTACCTGTTTGGTTGCTTTTTTTTTATAGCCATGACAGGTTTTAATGCTTTAGACATGGTGAAACTGGTTTTGGTGATGCTCTTTCTCGAGGTGCAAAGCACCTAGTCTACCAGTTGTGCCCGTCTGTCAGTGTTTGGATCATCATTGGATACTGCCTTATTCTTGCCATGGTAGTCTCCACATATTCTGGATCTGCAGCATGGGACTAGAAAATTGTCTCAACTCTTCAGCGGTGGGTGAAGATTCAGTCCTGCTCTGCTGCTTTCAGTAGAAGAGTAAAGTTACTTTCACGTTGCTAGATGGGGATTCAGTGTTTTGTTCCTATAAAGCAGGTTCAGGATCTGAATCCAAAATGTTTGGACATCCTAGGTTTTATCCTTTCACCCTAATGCCAGAAGGAGTAGATTCTGGCACTAAATGCTTGATCTTTGCACTTTTAGCATAGTATGATCACCTAAGGAATAATGAAAAGATTTCTTCTTTAGATAATGTAATTAAAAGACTAAAACTTTTTGTGTGTGTGCTCTTGCTTTACGCAGTGATGGTTATTGAGAGATGGAACTCCAGATGGGTGTAAGTAAGACGTCAAGACTTCAGAGTTGAAATCTGTCCTGGGTTGAGTGAGTGGTGGAATTTTTTGGTGGCAGGGGAGGGGGCTATCGGGGCGGACCCCTGTGAGAAGCTTCTCGAAGCTCCCCCAGCTCCACGTCAGCTCCACTTCTGTTTGGGAAATTGAGCCAATCGGCTGCGCCTCTG